ATATATATATATATATTTTTGTTTTTAAAATAATAGTAAGATGATTGTGTTTAGTTTGAAAGATATTTCAATATCAATTTTGTTGCATAAATGTGAATATCGTTATATTTTTAAAAAAACTTCGTGTTATTGTATTAAGAAGAAGAAATGACAGGGAAATTCTTTCATGAAAAAATGAAAAAAACAAATAGAAGTAATTTCTTGAACCAAAAACAGAGACTTCTACACCAAATTGAGAAAGCGTGTCTCTGAGAGATAATAATAAATAATATAATATTATCATTTAAAGAAAATATAATTACGTTAATACAAATTGTAATTATTTTTGTCGTAAAAATTGAAACGGAAAAATGGTTACTCTTACCGGTAATTATTGTTTTATATTGAACCTCGATGCTCCAAATTTTTAGACGACGATGTACATGTAGACTACGGATATTTATGCAGATTCAAATCTTTAGAAACACAGTTCCAGGATTGATTATTAATTGACTAAATGTTACAAAGATTGAAGACACTTCAGATATCTTACGTACGTGTATATAGAACTTCGTAACATCATACACAGTCCTTTCAACACAATCTTTGCGTCTTTCAATATTCCACATGAATGCATAAAAATCCGCAGTCCACTAGCGACTGAATGTAACTTGTTACTTAGGTTTCTTACCAAGATCATCGACATTGCGGTCGCGTTGTGGAGGAACTGTTTGTCGAATTGAGAAAATGGCAGCTTTATATATTCCCTTTCGTTCGTCCAGATGGACAGATCGATCGGTCCAGATCGGTACGAGTCAGGTTCCCGTGTTTGATGGGATCAGGAACTCGACCTTGTTGATTGGCGAGTTTCGTATTTCCGGGGAAGAAAGTGGTCAAGAACGCCATATCCGATCTTCACGTGTAATTATCTCATACCTTCGGTCTAGATGTTTCATCTGATTCAAAGCGTAGATTAAGTAGACTATGGAAATATTTATTTCTATTTTCCATTTCACTGATTGCGAGTGCTGCCAGGGAAGAGAGTTTAAAACGTGCAAGAAATGGAATTTTACAAAAGGAGAAAAAGTTTAGTTTAATATTAACGTTACTGATTCTCATGCACACGTGTGCACATCATATGTTTCAAACTTTCTTCTCTTCGTGCACTGTGCATCTAATGAAACAGAATTTCATCGTTTCGTTTGAACGAGTTGAAAATTGATAACAACGAATTCTCTATTTATTTATAAATTTTGCATTCTAGTTGTAGGATCTAGTTTTGTTATATTTCTTATATCAGTTTGAACGTTACATTAGTAAAATTAAATTGAAAATTTAAATTCAAATGCGTGTAATATAAACACATAATAATATACTAGGAAAGATAATTGTTTTCAAGTTAATCATTATAATATAATATTATTATTATTACTAGTAATCATTATCACTAATCGTTAATAGTAATTATTATTAGTATCATTAATATAATATTACTGATAATAATTATTACTGTGCATAAGAATATTATGAACTCTTTAATTCCACTGAAACAAGATTTACGCTTTGTACACCTTTAATAATAATATAACAAACGAGGCTAATACATCTTCTTCACATTGTGCCGTCGTGAAAAATCCACAAAGAAGCTCGTTGGATATTGAAGACGAATCGACGATTCGCGTGACGATTTGAAAATCGGCGAATGAATCGTTTCTGCAAAGCGGTGTTCCATCGTTTGACGTTACACGGCCAACGAGATCAACGAAACCGGCTGGTCCGTTTCTTGCACCAGTGGCGCTAGTTTGTTTCCGCGTTGGCCGCATCCGCGAAACTTTCTTAACTTTCATTTTCTAATACGAGCCACTTCTAATGCCGGCCACTGTCATCCATTATTCATGAATTATGAATACCGGTGAACGCATAACACGGCCGTACGTGTGTACCGGCCCTACAGTGACGAAATACCTGACGGTCAAGTCGAGCTGTGTTCGATAAAAAAAATTTGAAATTGACGAATGGTAAATTGTGTACGTACGTGATATTTGATTGATTTGTAGTTATTGTACAGTTATGTTTCAAATTCAACGACGAGTTCATTATTGAACGAAGTTTTTGTTTCATCTTGAATTTTTGTAATTGGTGTTTCTGTAATTGTTAATATTAATTTTTGAATACCTAATTAATAATCAATTTATCACAAAATGGAAATAAATTGTTATAGTTAACACTATACAATACTACATACAATATAATTCTGTATAGTATACTATATAATACTACATGCAACATAATTCTGTATAGTACACTATATAATACTACACACAATATAATTCTGTATAGTACACTATATAATACTACACACAATATAATTCTGTATAGTACATTGTATAATATATAAAATATAATACAATATAATACACTATAATATACTATATAATACATACAATATAATTCTGTATAGTACACTGTATAATACATAAAATATAATACAATATAATACACTATAATATACTATATAATACATACAATATAATTCTGTATAGTACACTACATAATACTACAC